GGATTCTCCTTCAACTACCAGATTTTCCACTCCAAGTTGGCTTGCAATCTGTAAACCTTGTACAGCTGGCTAGTAACTGAGCTCTTGTTGAGTCACCCACCCCTACTGGACCAGAGAATAAGGAAATAAGAATGTTGTTCTTATCCCTCAAGATTCCACCAATTCTTTAAGGCCCTCAAAATTCAACTTAATTACCCCTTTTGGAGGAGTCCACCTTGCTTGTAATCTGGACTTCTTTGGAGATATTGATGCCACCGCTGCCCAACTCCTTTGAATATTTCACAGGAAAAGTCTACAAACAGTTCTGAGGTGTTCATCCATAGGATGGTTCTTGTCAGAATGCATTCCTTAACTTCCTCAGGACTCTTTTGTTTTTCTTCTTCCCAGATGGTCCAAACCGTGGCTGCTCTTATGCATTTCCACATAAGCTTCCCTCTCATCGTTGGCCATCCAAGAATTGACATATCAAAGAGCATATTTACATTAGGAGTCAGGTTCTACCTGCAGCCAAATAAAGAGAAAACCCAATTCCACACATCTGTAGCAAAGGAACAAGATATTAGTAAGTGGTAACAGTCCTCGTTTTGTACTTTACACATTGTGTACCAATCTGGGTTCAAGTACAATAAAGGTCTCTTCTTATACAAGTTATCCACAGTATTAATCTTACTGTGATATACTTCCCAACAAAAAGAAGTTATTCTGGGGGAATGGACCTGGACCAAATTTCCTTCACTGGGAAGGGGGTGGAGAAGAACAAAGGAACTTGACACATGTATAGGAGCCACTTGGTACCAAAGTCCAGATTCTACTATCTGGCTTTAGAGGATCCAAGCAAATAGCCTCCAATAAAGATAAAAGCTCTGACATGCAAGCACATTCCTCATCTCTTAGACCTCTACGAAACCCAAAATCCCAAATTGGAGACAACAAGGTTATCAAGGAGGGAAAGAAACCTAGAAATAGGCACTCTCTTATAAAGGGAAATGGAGTAAACGGAGGAAAAAAGATCTTTTCGGGGTTGATTGCCCACCCAGACATCTTCCCAAAAAGCACTGAAGTACCTGAGCAAACATCATACCTTACTGACTGGAGGAATTTTGGAAAAACACTAGAGATTGCCTTCCAAGGTGTAGTGAGTCGAGCCTGTCGAGATACTCCAGAAACCCAACCAGTTTCAGAACAGCCATGGATACTCTCCACCAACCAGTTTCTGGTTGAATTGTAATATTGTTTCTGTTATGGTGGCCACACCTCACACATCTGTTGGGCTGCTTGTATTGTTATACTTTGATGTAAGATTTTAGTCTTAATAAAATTCCATTACCTATCAAAAAAAAATTGCTTATTAGGTACTTCATGAGGTCATTGACACTCAAACAGCCCTTGGAGTGCTGTTTCTCATCCTCACTTGATATCTCCCTACTAGGCATTTGGCTTTCCTTGTCTATCTCTTTGCATACACCCTGCATTCAATCAAGATTTGAGCTTGTTCCCCGCCCCCGCCCTCATCTGAGAGTCTGCTTAGTTCGTCTATTTGCATTTTCTTACTACTGCTCTCCACAACCAGTGTGTATTGTAGAGCTTCAATTCAGCTTTCTCCCTGATCAGTTTTATCTTCCTTTTCATCATCCTCTAAGAAAAACAGCTCTGCGTTGAGGGTGTATTGTGTATCCTAACCCATCTTGCCACTTAGATTTAGATCAACACTCTCAACACTTTAATCCTCAGAGTAACTACCTTCATCATCCATTAACCTTCTTACAAAAAATTGAGGCACAACAGGAACAGGGTGAACTTGGAATGGTGTACAGTGTGATAAATGCGCCTAGCACCCTTGAAAGTTGAAACCTGCCCCTTGTATCCCTTCAAGAGAGTGGTGTACAGTCACAAGTGCTTGGATTCTAGTGATCACAAAGAACCTGAGAAGTATAATTCCATGGAAACAGCAGAATCACGCAATGACACAGAAAAAAATACCCTCGACAACAAACCACCCAAGGGATTCCCCAAGGAAAGAAAGAATATCGAGCACAAATGGTAAGTTGGTAACCATAGAAAAAGTAATTATTGGGAAAATCCTTGAAGAAAAATTATTGTTTGCAAGAACCATACTATGCAAAAATGGTGTGGATTTATTCAAACACATCTCTGTCAACCTAATTGTAATTTAGAATCAAGCACTACACTGATAGTCCTGTGGTTAAAGCTAAGGTTCCCAACATAGACACTATGGTTACTTATGAAAAAATAAAAAACATTGAGACTGTGGTTCAACCATTCAAAGTTTGACAATGTCATAATATCAAGGCTAACTCTGATCCATCAAAAAGAAAAACTCTATATAGTTAAATCCTAACAACCGTAGATGGGCTGCTTTGGCTTAAATTTCAGGCTCTTTCTTTCTTTGGATTCAGCTTACACAATCCCCTTTCTATAGTAAATGGTTCTGTTACCAACCAGACAAGGATCAGCAGTCTCTCTTCTCCATTTGCCATACATGTAAACCATAAAAAATCCCATAGTAATTACAGTCCCATTGTTGGATAAAAACATTGCAATGGCAGAATCCCAATTATCATTGAGGACAATGCAGAATGCTTCCATGCTCATTGGAAGACAGTTTCAACTACTGGGTTAGCCACATGAGGATCTCTTCAAGACTGATAATATATATATATATATATATGACACCAGTGATTGCTAGTCTATTATGTTAAACATATATCCTTGCTAATTATAAGTTCCTAAATCCAATGAAGAACAAAACTGAACATTGTAATCAAATATACCCTGTAAAGTCGTCGACCAAATTGATTGTAATATTTGGCTTCCAAAATGAAACCCATTCTGTAGGCCCATCATCTTTAGAATCATCTTGTGTTTCTTCGTTCACCTGCAATAACAAACAAGTATCTTCAGGGATACATAAAATAATTAGAAAAAAAAAACAGAAAACTAATTAAGGAAGATGATTGATAGACATGGAGATTTTTTTTCTTGATAGAAAAAATAAAATGTATTAAAATATAAGAAAAAGCATACACAGGCATTGAAGCCTAATAAAGAAAAAATAGAAAAAACAACAGGAACAAGTGGTGATAAAAAGGAATAGTCCAAGCATCTAATTAACAATTGATAATAAGACAAATAGTGCAAACATCAGAGTAAACAAAAAATTGATGTACCATGCCAATGGTCATCTACCCATTAACAAATTCATGATGCTTCAAGAAGTAATTATCCTTACTTGATATACTAGCCAAGGTTTAAAATATCAACAAGTGTGATACCAAAAAATTGTATATCGTGTGTTTTGAACCACCGATACTTTTTTCAGCCTGATAATTGAAAGTTAGTCTAATGAGGATGAGTTCTAAAACCGTTAACCCCCAATCTCACAGTATTTATTGTATAAAAAGACGGGCTTCATCCTCTTTTACCTTTCTCTTTTGTAAGATGTTTCATTTTATCTATGTGTCCTAGTTTAATTTTTAAGTTGGTTGTTCTTCTTGTTAGGTTACCTTTTGTTTATAAATGGTTGGAGGCAATGATATTGCACCGAAACACTAAAGAACTCTATATTCCTAGAATGTGAAGTTGCAATAATTGATTTAGTTTCTTGTTTGAAGAAATTGGTGGAGGCTCAACACTCAAAATCAGAGAAGACAAAAGGGTTGTGATGGTCTTAAACAGAGGCGGCAGGATGGTTTAAAGGTTTCCTCGATGGTAATCTGTTCACCATCACAGAGACAGGGTGGAAGGGAGAACTTAGTTTGTAGAGGAAGAAGTTTTTAGTGGAAAACGAAAAATGATAAAGGAGAGTTTATTCTGTTGATTGAATTTTTTGGCTTGGGTAAAAGGCAGGTTATTTGCTTTCCCATCAGGAAAGGAAAACAGGGGTAGTTGAAGGTGGCAAAGACTTTTGATGAATTTGAATGACTTTGGTTGGAGGGACAACACACACAGTGTAAAACCAACGGTATCACCAGATCTGCAACAATCCTCTGGAAACATTGGTGTCAAGGAGAAGCTGCTAGACTTGGGAGGTATATGCGGAAACGCCATCTGTTCAAGAATAGTAGCCGAAGGGAGTCTGGAGGATTGGAGAAGGAAGGTGATCATGTTAACTAAAAAAGTGTTGGACTGGGATGGAGTGTTACAGGACATAGTCAAAGTTTTGCCGGCAACGGAAAAGGCAATCCTTCACCCCTTTGGTGAACGGCAGCGGTATGGCAAATAATGTAGAAAATTTAATTCGAATTACCACAAGAGAAGGGACAACAGTGGTGGAGAACTGGTGCCCTTCCTGGAATTAGTTGGAGGTCGACGGTGATACCATCAGTTTGGAAGTATTGGGACTTCCATTCAATCTTTGGGCAAAGGAGGTCTTTCTCCAGATTGCTACACTAGGTGTTTCGTTACAAGAGGTGGATCTCTCTAACCTTCGTGCAGCAACCTTATGTATTCAATAGGGGTGTAAACGTTATCCGATAATTCGATTCCGAATTCAATATCCGACGTAATTGAATCAAATTTGAATGGTTCGATAACTTTAACGGTCGAATTCGAATTTATACATTTTATCGATTAGATTATCGAATTCGTGTTGATCCGATTCGGTAAAAATTCGAATTCGATTAATTATATACATTTATGATATATTAATAAATATAATAAAATATAAAGGTTAAAGTCATAAAGAGGGGTCATGTCGAGTCCATCAGAAAAAAGTTGACAGCTACAATTATATCATCTACTGTCATTCTCGATAAACCTCTCTCTCTCTCGCTCTCTCTCTCTCTCTCTCTCTCTCTCTCTCGTCCAATCATCCTTTCCTCTCCTATTTTTATTTTATTTTTGATATAAACCAGAAACCAGTTTCCTCTCCCGCTTTTAATTTCTTCCTCCTCTTCTCTTCCTCTCTCTCTCCCTCTGTCTTTTCTATTCGCATAGTAGCACTCCTCTTCTCTTCCTCTCCCTCTGTCTTTTCTATTTGCAAGCTGTAAACACCTACGAAAGCATCAGTGATAGCAATCGAGCACCGGTCACTACCATTTCCTTCACCGCTGCTCAAGCTCAAGCTCAACGCCTCAAGGCCCTCAACTGTCCAGCATCACCGGCCATCGTGCTACAACAGTCCAGCATCACCAGCCAACACTGCTCACTACCATTGCATTCGCACCACCGGGAACCCACGACTGCCGCTATCAATCTCCTGCCTCTTTTCTCAAGCTAATCACTTGTTTTTCTTTGCAAACTCAGTCTAGGCCTCATATCGATCGAACTCGAATCGAATCGAATATTCGATTTAATAATCAAATTCGAATTCAAATTTAAACATTTGATATCCATCGGATAGCGAATCGAATTCAAATATTGTTTTTTATAATCCGTTTCGAATTTGAATCTAGCCTGATTCAATTCGAATTCGATCCATTTACAGGCCTAGTATTCGAGATGCTAAGTCGGAGAAGATACCAAGATTGCTTGAAGTTTTCTCCAACGAAAGGTGGAGACAAGTATGGGTTGTGTAGGAAGTTGAATCAACACTCTGGGAGTGTGCAAGGAGAGAAGACGATGCTCACATGGCAAGACAAAGGCCACATGGCACAACAAGACAGGAAGCTTCAGACGTCAGACTTGGGTTTCCCCCAAAGGAAACTAAATCGCAGGGCTCGATTAATTTAGGCTCCAAATTACCTTTATTAATCGGGTTTTCAAATTAGTTTGAATTTCAAAGGGAGGGACATGTGTCCTACGTGGACATCTTAAAGGGGGAGTCTTTGGGAAATAAAAACTCCAGACCGGAGCTTAACCAAGGGGTCGGGCCAAGCTTTAAAGTAAATGCAGGTGACAAGTTAAACGTCACGTGTAGAAGTGGTAGTGAATCAATGGGGGATGCTAATTTGGGTGTATCATCGTCCCCATCAATCCCTGACAGTAGCTGTCAAAAGGGGCTGCCAAATTTGCAGTGGGCGAGATGCTACCCTTCTTGGCAGGACAAGCCTAACCCCAAGTATGCTAGACCAAAAGAGATTCAGAGCGATGAAGATGACGATGGGCAGTAGATTGATTGCAGTGATTCCAAGGAAGAGTGCTCCTTTGATGAAGAATCCAGTATTGAGAGTGTGGATGGGACAAAATATAAATCTGTTTGGGTTTTGAAGTGGATTACTGCATTGGTGCCTTGTTTGCAGCAAACAAGGTCAGTGATACTATGAACATAGAGAGGCCTTCCTTCGACAAACCTCTGTAGAAGTCTTGTGAGGATGAAGGGTGCCGACAAAGCTCAGGCTTTCAGAATGTCCTAAACCACATCCAGGATCAACAAGGTCCTTCCTGTGCCCTCTTGGTTAGGAAATCCCACTCTTGTGAACAGCTGAAGCAGGATGTTCAGATGGTGACTGAGCAGGGGATCTGTAAAGCTTCAAAGGAAACACCTTCAAATTCTGATCAGGTTACAGAAACCATGTGTCTTCCCCAAACAGATTTTCCTGATGCTTGCAACCCCAGGCCAGAGTCAAGGTGGTGTGGTCGTTGAAACACCTATTGTTGTTGATTTGCTCCCTCCTATGGTAGATGGTAACCCCTGCAGATGGTTCATTCCCTGTCCCTAATATGATTAAGCCCATGGATTTGAATAACTATGCTGAAAGTGTGGAAAGGGAACTTCTGGCTGGGGATCCAAAGTCTGTTTGGAGGGAGGGAAGTTTCTCCTAGGGGAAATAGGAGGGAGGAAGAGTACAGAGAGGAGGGAAGAAGGGCAAAGAAGAAAGAGATATGAGGAAGAATGAAACTAATCTGATTAAAGAAAAGGAAAAAAGTAGTGGGCAGGAAGATGTTTTTGCAGGAGGGAAGATGCACATGGAAGAGGACCAGCTGATGAATTTCACCAATAGAATGGGTTTTAACCCAGAAAAAACAGATGAGGAGATTGTTCGAAAAAAGGGGGTGGAAAAAGAAAGAAAAAAAAATGAATGAAGTGGAGAAATTAAGTAACGATGTTGAAGGGGAAAAAGAGTTTAGTGCTAGGGGAGAAGGAGGAAATGAGGCTTTTAGGAAGAAAGGGTATTTTTGGGTTTTCAATTAGTTCAATGAAGATCATCAGCTGGAATGTTAGGGGGCTAGGAAGTGCCACAATAAGGAGGTTGACTAAGGAGATGTTTAAGAAAGAAAAGTCAGATATAATTCTGATCCAGGGGTCCAAGATTCAGGAGGTTGATAGGAAGTGGATCAGGAGTTTGTCAATGGTGCTATGCACCAACTTGGGGTGCTTCAGGGGAATCATAACAGTCTAGAAGGAAGATATGTTCTCTTGTTGTGAAGAGCTAGTGGGAAGATTTTCAGTCTCAATGGTGTTGAAGAATAATCAGGATGGTTTTGATTGAGTCCTAACCAATGTTTCTGGACCAAATTCCTATAGAGAAAGGAATATGATGTGAGAAGAATTGGCAAATGTTAGAGGTCTATGGGAAGGCCCTTGGTGTTTAGGAGGTGATTTTAATGTGATAAGATATGTGGATGAATCGATTGGAGGAAGACAAAGAATTACCTCGAGTATGGAGAAATTCAACAGCTTTATTTAGGATTTTGAATTAAGACTTCCCACTAGGTCAATCCTGTTTCACTTGGTCCAATCTCCAGGCTAACCTGATTTGCTCAAGACTGGATAGGTTTTTAATGTCTCTCGATTGGGAAGAACATTGGAAGGATTTGAGGGGAAAGTCATTACCCAGAGTCGCATCAGATCATTGGCCAATCTGCTTGTTTCAAAAAACCATTGAGGGAAGCCCTTCTCCGTTTAGGTTTGAGAACATGTGGCTCACCCATCCAGATTTTAAGAAGGTGAAGGAGAGGTGGGATCCCCATGTGCCACAACCTATATGTGAAGGG